ATAAATGTTTATCAACAAGTGTTGTATACAAAGCAGAAATCTCGACAAGTGACGGCGAAGAAACGAAGGAGTACATTGGAATGACGGCGGGGACGTTCAAGAATAGGCATGCCAACCATAAAAAATCTCTAACTGTTCCTCGGTATTCAGCAGAAACAAAATTATCAAAGTATGCGTGGAAACTCAAGAAAAGCGGGAAGCAATACAACATCAAGTGGAGCATACTAAAGCGTGCCCGTGCGTATACGGCTGGTGCGGCAAGATGCAATCTGTGCCTTGAAGAGAAGGTTTGCTTACTGGAAGCTGACAAAAGCAGGATATTGAATAAACGCTCAGAAATATTCGCGAAATGCTGTCATAGAAATAGTTTTAGCGCGCGCAAATTTGAACGCACGCGAGATGCGTCAGCAAACCGTTAATTTAGAGCACGTCATTGAATCAACTTCATTCGCCTGAAGATCGCTTTGAAAGAAGCGTGAAACACAGTGTAGCGACAAATATATTTTAAGATTAAAGAAATATATATATCTATATATCTATATATCTATATATCTATATATCTATATATCTATATATCTATATATCTATATATCTATATATATATATATATATATATATATATATATATATATATATATATATATATATATATATATATATATATATATATATATATATATATATATATAGGTAACTGTAAATAGCAGTTACTTTCATCCTGCTCATCAGCACTACACTGATGAGGCCCATAAGGCCGAAACGGTACCGTCTGTAGTTATATATATATATATATATATATATATATATATATATATATATATATATATATATATATATATATATATATATATATATATAATTTTAATCTTAAAATTTTATTAATCGCTATACAGTGTTTCACACTTTCACAGCCATCTTCAGGCGATACTACTCTAAATAGTTTGCTTGCGCAATAGAACATATTATATTACATATTATATTGCGCAAGCAAACTATTTAGAGTAGTAGTTTGTACAACGGACAACGATTTATTATTGTATATATGTCTTGTAAACAGCTTTATATATATATATATATATATATATATAAATATATATATATATATATATATATATATATATATATATATATATATATATATATATATATATATATATACAATCTGCAGACATGCATGTTTCGGCGCTCTACGCCTCGTCAGTGCAGCTTGGTACACGTTTAAATACGTGAGACACTCCTATTTATATCCCATGAACTTGCTCTCACCAAGGCATGTGGTACAACACGGTGACTCAACGCACCCAGACATGCGCAGAGCGTAATGGGGCCAGAGTGCTCAAACGACCACAAGGGAAGTGAGCTTTGCATTATCGCTAATAGACACCCATATATATATATATATATATATATATATATATATATATATATATATATATATATATATATATATATATATATATATATATATATATATATATATATATATAATTAACAATTATACCATGAGCTCGAGTCGTATATGAGCTGATAGCCGACGAGGTGCGTAGCACCGTGTCGGCTATCAGCCATATACGATGAGAGCGAATGGTATAATTGTTTTATAATATAGTCTAATATAGCCATTAACTGAAGCAGTAATTAATTATTCACTGTTACAATGTGTTGACAATTTGTTCGGCCAAAAACCGCTTGAAAATTTCAAATACTTTTGTTTTACAACTCGAAGACGAAGTGAAAGAAATGGTTTTAGAACCTCTATATCTCGCAGGAAAGCTCAGATATATTATGCAGATGTTTGGTACTATAGTAAGTGCTTGTTGACTGCAAATTCATTTGTCGTTCATTGCAAACTTTTCTGAACAATTTATATTCTCAATGAACATGTTTTTTCGCTGTTGTTTCGGTATTAATTCTTTAAAAAACTTGTATTTAAACTAATTTCTATGTAATAAATGTATTTTGCTAACCTGTCAAATTTTTTTGAGAGTTTTTCCTTGTACTATTATGTTTTTCAAAGCGAATATTTTCCTTTTTCTGCTTCGCAAAACTCATGTAGTTTTTGGACCGCCATCTTGTTTTTCGCTACTCGCCGTATATCAGCTCATATACGGCGAGTAATTCAACCAATCAGATTGCAGAACAGCTCATATACGGTGGATGACTATATTATAATTATATATATATATATATATATATATATATATATATATATATATATATATATATATATATATATATATATATATATATATATATATATATATATGTAAAGCTGTTTACACGAAAAGCTGACGAGGTTTTACAAGATTAAATATTTCCACTAACTTGCTAATTCAATATTATTGCATTGATCTCGTTCGCTGCTAATCTGGACAAGATCCTCGAGTCTATTAGGTCTATAGGTGACACAGCAGCTCGCAAATTATTGTTTTTATTTTGACCTTGCCGTGTGTGCGCGCGCGTGAAGCCACTGTCACAGGTGAGGTAGCGACAATCCTGATGACCTCAAATAAGTCAGGATAAAGTTGATGCAGATCATCTTTGTTGAAAACGTGGAGCAAGGAGGGCAAGCAGATCCATGGTGGTATGCATCACTAACTCTATAGAGCAAAGGAAACTATAAACCGTTTTTACTATAAATTTATCCCAATTTCAAGTTTTTAGCCATCCGGATTTTACGTTTTAAGTGTATTTTTGTTAACCTATAACTAGTCTAAACCGCAGTGAGCTATAAGAAAACTGGAACGATAACTCCAGAGATTGAGCCCTATGATTGGTTAAAGCCAGATTTGAAGCCAAGCTCGCCAGGAGGCTCGCGGGATAAACTAACTTTCAAAAAGACTAGAGAGAGCTTCGAGAAGCAGGAAATTCAGTCAAAAGTTTGTTTTCGAGCGAAAATTAGCAAGAAAAAATTTTTTTATCAAAAGGTTTCAACTGTAACATTCAAACCTGTTTTCCGGGATGGTATTTTACATCCACTAACAGCAAAAACGTCCTGGGTAACAGTTTCCTATTCAAAATATTACACAAGTTTGAACGTGCCGAAAAAAACTTCGCACTCTGACTCCTGAGAAAACAGTTTTAAATCTGCTCTACGTCCTGGACACACCTTTTGTATTAAATTTTAAGTATTGTTGAGAGTTTTTAGCTTTTCTCCTTGTTGAAATACAGCTATTTAGTGCTCAAAAACAGATGTCTTTCCGCGGCGTACGTACATGCCTTACGTACATGGCGGCCATCATGAGTGGCAAATAACTTGAATGATTCTATTGGCAATTGTTGAAATAGCTGAATAAAAACATGGAACATATACCTTTAGAATAAAAAGAACTAAATCTTTCAAATCAAGGGGTTAGGATTGATGAATGATTTTAACGATTATAAATGCCTCCACGGCAAATCTCGAGCGTCGTCCAAGAGAAAGCAAACAGGCTCAAGTGATTGTCGAGGGCACCTGGGAAATGACCCGCTCCTTTTTAAATTACCCGCTCCTTTTTTAATTACCCGCTCCTTTTTTAATTACCCGCGACCCGCTCCTTTTACCCGCTCCCCGCTCCCGCTCCAAATAGATACTCCCAACTGATTGTAATAGTAGTGGTAAACTGAATTTATTTCTACCGAAGTCTTGTTTGTTTCTTTCAAAACATATTTTTTGCTTAGAGGATTTTTGTCATTGTAGGCTACAATTGTTGGTTTAACATATTGAAATTATTCTTCCAAGTTTTAGGCTTCTGGCACGTTTATATAGAACCATTAAATCATGACAAAAGGCTCTTGGGCAATATTTCGTATTGAAGCAATCCTATATGGTTGTTTACTAAATGATAACGTGATTTTTACACACTTTATTCAACCCGCGACTCGATAAAATACACAGTTTGGAGCTTTTTTACGACCCGCGACTTTTTACCCGCGACATTTTACCCGCGCCATTCTACACGCGACTTTTTACCCGCGACACGCGACCATTAATCAAACTCATTAAATCATGACAAAAGGCTCTTGGGGCAATATTTCGTATTGAAGCAATCCTATATAGTTGTTCACTAAATGATAACGTGATTTTTACACACTTTATTCAACCCGCGACTCAATAAAATACACGGTTTGGAGCTTTTGCGACCCGCGACTTTTTACCCGCGACATTTTACCCCCGACCCGCGACATTCTACCCGCGACACGCGACTTTTTACCCACGACACGCGACTTTTTACCCGCGACACGCGACCATTAGTCAAACTCCTCTTTCAGTTGTGCAATGATGTGTGCCAGGAAGCTAATGACCATATGTTGCGCGAACAGTCCATTAATTAACATAACGCACGCCTCAGCAGCAGGACCAAACTTCCGCATCACACATTACCCCATGCACTTAATTTGGGTAATATATTAACCCATTATGTTGGGTTTCCTTCGGCGGTTCTAATCAGCGCCTGCAATATGCCAATGGTCAATACCGAATATATGAAACGGTCTTTTGTCAAAAGTAAAGCTATGATCTTTTAATACCGGTTTTTATTCACACAATAAAGACTGAATTTATTAAGTTAGATGATGGCACAAACGTCCCCCTCCCCCATTTTTCTCACCGGTACCACAAATTAGAAAATTGACCTTGAAGAGAATTGGGGGCGTGTCCTCCCAAGTTCAGGCCAGTTCCTTTTGCGATGCCCATCCACCAGTAAAATTACGAGTGCTTGAAATGAAGGATATATTTTTATCGTTTTTGCTTGTAATTTGCGAAATATTCATACCTTAGTAAACGTTGAAACAAATTTCCGTTACAAATCTTGCCAAATTTGTCATAATAATAAACAAAGTAGACCCATATATATATGCCAGCCTAAGCGCCACGCGCGAGCTTTCAAAACTCAAGCTATGAGACTACATGAAAGAGACAAATACCACGCATTTTTGCGCTGCGTATATATGGATGCTCGTGCCCCTCTTTGAAAACGACAGTAACATTAATTTTAACTTTATTAATTAATCAACTTTCGACCACCCCCTTTCGCATCATATTACGACACAATTTTTCTAATATAAATATCTCGGCGAGTATTTACCCCCTTTTAAATAAAAGCCGCCATTGTAATCCTCACAAAATAACCTTTCAAACGGGGGGTCAAGTGCCGTCAGAACATTACACAAACTGAAACAATCATATATTTACTCACCGCTTGGACAAAGATTCTAAATTTCATATACACAAGATCTTAAATATCTCTTGAACATTTCGTCATTTGCTGAACGGCTATATGTGTAAAATACTCTTTGTATTCGAGCGCTTTCGTGTACAAAATTTCGTTTGAATACGGCGAGTAGAAATATTTATTTTGAATTTTTCAAAATGTCGGGTTTTACTCGAACTTGCGTACATTGCGCAAACTCACGCGTGTAGGTGCAATTTGACCTTGCGAACCATTCCTGGCCTTTGCAGGGTCATACGATACCAGCATGAGCTCCACCTTTGAATTTACTATACGAGTAAATTCTTAAACACGTCCGAATTTATCATTATGATAAATTCGCGGCAAATTTTGAATTTATCATAATAATAATTTCGCGGCACCTAACACTAACCCTAACCCCAACCCTAACCACTAACCCCTAACCCCTAACCCTTAACCACTAACCCCTAACCCTAATTTTTTTAACTTTTTAAATTTTCTTAAATTTTTTAAAAATCTACCTTTTTAAACTTTTCTTGCTTTTCAAAACTCTTTTAAAACTTTTTTAAAAACTATTTTTTTAAAAAATTTGAATAATTACCCACACCTGCGCGACCAGCCTCCCTTCTAGTGCCATTACATTTATAACGGGAAACCTTGTGCAATGCTTGTGGTTTTATGATTAACTCTATTGATAAATTCAAAATGTGCCGCGAATTTATCATAATGATAAATTCTGACGTGTTTAAGAACTAATTCAAAGGTGGAGCTCATGTTGTACGATACAAGCTTCGCATTGTTTTGACGGTTTTCAGTCGTATTTCCGGTTGGGATTAACTCACTTCGAGCTCACAGTCGGACAAGAAATGGAAATATATTGATAAAAGAATTGATTTGAAGATTTGAAGATACAGGCTTGCAAATAACACTCTAAGTAGTGTTTTTAATGGGAATTCTATCAAGACTATTACAAAGACAATATGTTCGAAGGGGCCGAAGTTATTTTCGGCGAAATGTATGCCTAGTCTATATTTTTGTTTAGACAATTGCGTAATTTGATACAATATGATCGTGTTTGACTTCCAAAGGCCCATAAATCGCTACAATGTTGATAATGACTAAAACTATAGGTAAGAATGAGTTAAATCTTTTATTTCTGAATCGAATGGTGGTATTTCTGTCTTCATAGCATGCACAGAACCGAAGATATGAAATTTCTCGCCATCGATCTCCCAGCATCGATGAGACTGGGACGTGATTAGAAAGAGCTTAAATGCGTGCATGCGATCAGTGTATCTTCAACAAGATAGAGCTTTTTTAGTTACATTCATTTTTAGTTCCTTTTGGATCTCTTATTGTCTCCGTTGCACATATCTATATACTTAACGCAATACTGGCTTTAATTTATTCTGATGAAGCAGTTTACAAGTGTTGCACTTGAGAAAAACAATCTCGCAAGCTGAGTCTAAGGGTAAAATACATAAAGACAGTTACACTAATATACTTGTTGTTATACTAAAGTTTAAAATGATTCGTTCATTCACGTAAATAGTCAGCAAGGCAGTAATTTTCCATAAAACACATTCGATACCTCTGTTTCTTCTACACCAAAGTAGAATTCGATTGATGCTGCTACAAACTCCTCGCGGCTGATTTCACCGTTGCCATCTGAATCAATGGTGTCGAAAGAATGCTTCATTTCTTCTTCAGTTATATCGTGACATAAAATTTTGAAGTAGGCTTTGAACTCCTCGATACTTATGTGGCCATCGCTGTTTGTGTCAATGCAATCAAACAAGAACTGATGCACTTCTTGAGGATTGTTGATAGTGTGGGACAAATAGCTGTCACTTGCGATCTTAGCTGCTTCGTCGAACGGCATTTTCACGCCAGGTTTTAGATCAATGGCATCAGCAATATTTAAGAATTCGGCAAATATTTGTTCAGTTCTCTCCTTGGTAATTCCACTTGTATTTTCCACGAATCTTTTGGCCATGAGCTCAAAATCCTCACGTGAGATGTAGCCATCTTGGTTCTGATCCATTCTATGGAACCGTGTTCGGAATTTTCTCAAATGATATGCTTTCTGCTGTTCTGTCACGCTCATGTTGATAAAGTGGCAACGATATCTTAAACGGCACATCAGCAAAGAATAAGGCACACAGAAGGGCCACTTACGTCTGAAGCTTTGAAGTTTCTGTCATCTTGGCCGCCATCTTCCCAGCCAGTCGATTAAGCTGAGTGGCCCTTCTGGTACTGATCTTTATTCTGTGACATCAGTCAGGTTCCAAGCAATGTGTTATAATTAATGACGTTATTGTTTTGTGGACATCACGCGTGTGTCACGCGATTCTGTGAGCACATGGAATATTAATGACTCTTGTTGTTCTACTGAGTTTAGCGACTCGCAAGACTCAGAAGAACAACAAAAGTCATTAATATTTCACGCGATTCGCTAAACTCAAAAGAACAACAAAATTAATGTATATTCCATGTGCTCACAGAATTGCGTCACACACGCGTGCTGTCCACTAACATGTAACAATAACGTCATAGAGTGTTTAGAATCGCGTCATAGCGGGGGTTGCGGTGAGGGGGGCCGTGGATATTACCGAAAGGATAGTGCGTGTTTTATTTATCAAGAACCAACTTTAAACGTTTTTTCACGATTTCTTTTGTAGACTTTTTTCTTATGACACTGAGCTGGGTTTCGACTCCCCTCCCCCCCCCCACACAGTGAGCCCCCTGTAATTTATAAAGTATATACTGTTGTCATTCCACTGCAGCAATACCTCTGTGAGTCTGTGTTATGTTGCAAGAATTGTGTGATCGTTTATGTTAATAGTTGTATATTTTCAACGGTGTATCTGAAGTGATACCGGAAATAAAGTTATGAATGAAATCACAATAGTAATATTAATATATTTTGTATTCGCTGAACCAAATCATTAATACGACAAGTGACATTTTTTTTATGATTCAATTCCATTTAAGTCATCTCGTGAAAAGAAATCCAAATTACGTAGATTCATCCAAAATTGACACAAAATTCCTGGCTACTCTAAACTAGAAAATACATGCATGCAGAAACCCTCGCCTTGCTGACAAAACCATTATATTTTCCGAACATGAAGTATCTAAAGTAGTTGTTATGGTAACACGATAATTTTTTAAGAATATTCTTACAAATGAAAAATCGCCTAAAAATATGACTTTTAATTACACAATTATCAATTTCCCAACATATATATGTTAGGTATACGATATTATACGTAATATAAGCTTCAATTAATTTAAGGTGAAATTCAACCACAAACGCTTCGCAAAACGTTTTAAAGTGTTCTTTATAGAACTAAAAAAGTTAAAACTTCCTTTAATTTAAATGGCTTTATCGATACATTTTGAGTTTGCAATAAAATGATTTCAAATTCTCGCATGCAAATAACTTTGCTTTCTTTTTTATTTATTTAAAAAATTTAATATCATAAAAAATGGAATCAATATTAAAAATACAATGAAATTATATGCTGTCTTGTTTAGGTGTTTCATATACGCAAAGGCCGTTGGGTTTTAAAGCAATTATAAAATCAATATTTAAAACAAACGTACCTTCGTTAACGTCGGCTCCCTTCTTTTAGCCGATTCTTTCGCCTTTTCTTTCTTGAAATTTACAAAATCTTGCAAAAATATGCGAGCAACAATGAAATATATTTGCAAGAAATTTATCAATCATCAAATCAAGAAATGTTTGCTATTTCGCTGTCGTCGTGCAGTCGTTATAATGCAAACTTTAAATTGGACCAATCACAGTGTTCGCTCTTCATGACAGTCCGCCATATTTTTGAGATCAGTGAGGATGACCACCCACTTCGCTAATGCTTCGTTTCCCCAGGTGTAAATAGCCGGAGGGAATTAGTAACCTCGCACGGCGCTTCGCGCCGTCGGCTTGGGGACAAGAGCTTTCTGCATGCACAGAACGAACCATATGCGTGCTAACCATAATATTGGTTGATTCCACAAAATACACATGTGACGATAAATTAAGTTCTATATTTTAGGTAAAGCTATTAAACGAGCACAAAAAAGTTTTACTGCGTATTATCGTCGGGTTGCTATGCGAACACACTATTCTATTAGCTAAGAATATACTGGTAGATTATGTGGTCTTGCTAGGTAATCAATGGTAACATATGAAACCTTTAAAACCGACCAATCCTTAACTCATATATTTCGTTACCGTTTCTTCAATCAATCAATCAATCAATCAATCAATCAATCAATCAATCAATCAATCAAACTTTATTTACCCACGGTACTATTTCACAAAGACAAAAACTAAAATATTTACAAGATGTGATCTTCCAATAGGCCGTGCTATATATGTATGAATAATTACATGCAATTATAAAAATATTTTATTAAGTTAATACAATAAAATCGAAGAGAAAAATAAAAAATAAAAATTGATTATCAAGAATTATTACCACTATTTGACACTAGAGCCCTTTTGAAGGTTGACAATTAACCCGTATTTTTTATATTAGGTAATAAATCATTCCAAGCTACAGCTCCTCTGTACGAGAATGATTTTTTACAAAAGTTGGTACTTGGCCTCGGGAGCGCAAAGTTAAATTCAGCCTGCCTAGTTTGATGATTATGAAGTGTACTGGTTTTCGTGAATAAATCAATTATGTAATCAGGCACCATATTATTATTTACCTGATACATAGTAGTACATAATTGATTATTTCTTCTGAGACTTAAATTAGTTAAATCTAATTCTTTAAGTATATCGGCTGATCTAAATTCATACCCACGCTTTGTAATGATACGTGCTGCTCTATTTTGTAAACGTTGCAATTGGTTTTGAAGGGTAAATCCAAGACAACCCTATACTTGCGAGCAGTAATCAAAGTGTGGTTGAATTAGGGTTTTGTAAACTGTTACTAGAGTCCTTACATCAACAAAATCTCTTAATCGTCTAAGGACGTAAAGACCCTTGTTCACTTTCTTTGTAATTAGATCTGTTTGAGAATGCCAGGTTAAGGTCTCATCTACCATCATACCCAGTGATTTAGTAACGGTTACTCGTTGAATAGGCGTATCTCCAATTTTTATTTGCAATTCGGAGTTACACTGTTTAAGTTTTTGATGTGATCCAATAAACATATATTCAGTTTTGCTTTTGTTCAGGCTCAGCTTGTTGGCCGCCATCCAAACTGAAATATTTGCTAGGTCATCATTTAACGTTTCAAAAATTACTTTGACATCCTTATTTGCCGTTCCTAATTGAGTATCATCAGCAAACATGTCACAATCCGCACTTTTTAAGCAATTTGGCAAGTCATTTATGTAAACAAGAAAGAGTAAGGGTCCAAGAATTTAGCCCTGCGGAATACCAGTACTTATTGTTCGTGGTTCAGACAGTTTGCCATTAACTTGACAATACTGGTTACGATTTTTTTTTTTTTTTTTTTTTTTGATCGATTTAATTTGAAGAGAGCAGACGTGGATTTTGTGCTCCGCTACACGAGTGAAATTTGATCCATCGCCCGATTCGCTCGCTTTTAAAACTACGAAAATTTTATTTTGAGACGAGAATGGTTTCATTTATTGATCATATAAGTTTTGCCTGGACTGGAGATTTTGATTCATTGAAGTTGCTAATCGCTGATGATCTAAAACTAGACGGCACTTGGGAACATCCCGGCGGCGACAAAAAGGTGTTTAAGTTTAATGACAGTTTGATCTCGTGGAGAAAAGGCAAAGGTCTCTTGCAGATTGAAGGCGACGAAATGGGTAAAGTGTATCAACATTTATGTAAAAAGATTTTGAATAGTCTACATTCAAGTGTTAAAAATGTAGTTAGCTCGGACATGTCATGCCAGACAAATGTAGATACCCCGCGGCAGTCGTCTTGTCCATGTGCTGATGTTGTTTTCGACTTTGAGGAACTAAAATCGGGTCAAGAAATCAACAGAGAAATTATACAAACTTTGTCTCAAACTGTTGAACAATTAGTTGAGTTTATGGGCCAGAGTAAAGGTGAAAAATCAGTTGAAAATGGGGGAAAGTTAGTTAAAAATCGAAATGGCAAACCTGCCACCGATATGCATATTTTAACTCACGCCCAAACAAAAGAAATTAATGAAACGACCAATCCAAACGCCCCCAACATTAGTATAATCGAGATATCTGATCAAAACAACGTTGGCGCGGCAAATCTAAACAACGCTGGAACCGATAATGTTTCAGAAGAAATTGCGGGTAGGAACATAATACCCGCACCATACCAAGATAGGTTCCCCCGACACACAAAAAACCCTAAATCTCACGTTCCATGTCCCTTTTTACGCAGAAAGGGTCATTGCCTGAAGGGTTTGAAATGTGATTTCTCCCACGCTAAACCACAACAGTCCTTTCAACCACACCAACAACAATTTTTTCCACCCCCGTTTTACGGACAAACTCCATATCATTTTCAAAGTCACCTAAATACTATGAGACACCCTTTTTTTTATCCCCATGTAAACTACCCTTATATGCCTCCCCTGATGGACATCCCAACAAGACCACCCAGTCATTATTAAACGAATCTGTTGACTTTCCAAATAACTGTACACTGCCATGTAAGCCCCTTACTACAGAACTCCATCAACTTAATACCACTATATTAAAACAGAGGATTAGTAATTTTATTCCAAAATTAATGGTGACTAATGTGAGATCTTTGGCCCCTAAAATAGACGAAGTCCGCGAATTCATGATGGAAAATGAGATAAACTTATCCTTTCTAACTGAAACTTGGCTCAATGACTCGATTACAGATAGCGTTGTAAGCATACCTGGGTTTACAATCATACGCAAAGATAGATCTATAAACAACCATGGCGGAATCTGTATTTATATCAGAGACGGTGATACGAAACTCAAAATCCTTCCAGAAATTTCATGTTGTTCCGAACACGAAATCTTATGGCTTCATTTAAAACCTAGACGACTTCCTCGTGAATTTTCCTCAATCATAGTTGCCGTCCTATACCACCCCCCCAGTGCCGACGATTTCAGCATGCAGAGTCACTTATTTCAGACACTGAGCGAAGTCGAAGCAAAATTTTACAGCTGCGGTATTATCATTGCTGG